AGTATCTCATCTAGGGAGAGGTTCATGCCACAAAATTCTGATCTAAATTGAAGCTAAATTTTGATTTGTTTCAAAACACAACACTCTCAAGATCTTGGTTATGTCTCATGTTCTTTGGTGCTATGCTTTAGAATACAAATCCAGGTGGAAAGATGTATTTGTGTGATGACTTTAAATCCGTAGTTTCAACAATCTCAAAATAAAAAAGCTGAGATTTAGGCTTTTTTTTGGATGGCCTTTATAATCTGACAGGCTTTGACCAAACTCAGCAAAGGGAAGATTTGGCAACAATGAGTAGAGCGTAGGTATGAACAAAATGAGCAGCTTGTGTCTGGGCAGTCGATGCTATAATTCATGTGCTGTGTGTTGACTGCTGCATGAAAACGTACGAACATGAAATATTCTACCCAGAGCTTTAGTATCTACCCTGTGGGTGCTGGATCTTGGAAGCTGGCAGTGTATTGCTGATGTAGAAGATACAAAAGGAAAGTGCTCAAGTTGGAGGAATTAAAGTTCTATAATTAAAAATGGTCTGTCAAAATTACATGCTATATGGCAAGCCTACAAAACTCAGTGTGTGGAGAGCATATTGGCAATGATTTACAATTAACCACCACATTGCAAATCACTCCTTAGCTGTTTTCTATTATGAAATTTGGAGAGTTGTAAAATGCATTTGTGCTATTTTATTTCCTTTTGAAATGGTAATTGCTACTGCTGAGGGGCAGTACTTAGTGCAGAAAATGAAGTGTGCAGCATAGGGAGGAACTTGTTTCTGAGGAACTGCTGAGGAATTGTAATGATCTGAAAAAAGTGCTTTCTTGAAACACACGCACACAAAAGAGCTTCATTTATGAAACTCCAACCAAATAAATAACAAAATAAAATAAAACAGTCTTTTTTTTTGTGCAAGGGCCAATGCTTACTACTTTGTTGCTGACTGCACTTTTTCCCCATCAAAGTGGGAACGATGGATTGACACTGGGTAAAACTCATAAGCCAATGGCTTGAGGGAAATGCAGATGTATGGAAATGTGATAGGAATGCCCTAAGGTGATGGGTTTTGAGCCAATGCGTTTGAAAATTATCAGGTGCTCTTCTAACTACTAGCCCATTTTAGATACCTAGTATAGAACTGACAGTGGTGTGGCCCTGGGGAGCTGGGTGAAGTTTGACTTTTGTGTCTGAGGAACAGGGTCTGTGCAGCCTAAGTGGAGAAAGCAGGTATGTTCTAATTAAGTGGTGATAAGTTCCCCCCTTACAGCTTCCCCCTTGACTGTGATTGTAAAAAGGACTGTGTTTATGAGTAGCTTTTATGGAGGGATATATTAAGGAAAGCAAGGAGTGAGGCTTCTGAGGTCTTAAATTTGCTAACTTGTGACAATAATCATGATGTCTCAGGTAATAAAGCAGGCTATCTAGCTCAGGTCCTCAGTTTAAAGTTAATATCTTTGAAAGCCAGATGATTGACTGTAATTTTGCTCACAGTGCTTTGCTGGTAGCAGTAAATAAAAAACATCTACAGCACTTTTCATCAGAAGTGTCAGAGTGCTTTCCACACCTTAACCAATTAATTTTTATGAGATGGTGGCATGGTTCTTTCCCTTTCTCTACTGAAGGAACTGAAAGGATCAAGGCAGCAACCAGAAAGTATGCAGCATTCAGTGCAATAGCAAAAACTCATAATGTCTGGGTTTAGAAGCGTGGCTTTCCAGAATTATTTTACAGTTAATACAGAGGAGACAGAGTCATAATTGTCCTTTCATAAATATATTTGAACTGGTGTTGTGTCTTAGAATGACGACAGACTGAGTTTGTGCTGCCAAGATGGTCCATCTTGACACTTAGGGGAAGAAGCAGTTGTTTTGGATCAGCTTGGCTAAACAGTTAACTCACAACTGAGCTACAATGCAAAAAGGCAGTATACAGCAGCTGATGCCAGGAACGGCTCCGAATAAGTAATTTAGAAGCACTGTCCAGGCATGCAGGGATGCTGTTAAAAAAGCTGGTGTTCAGCTAGAGTTGAGACTCACAAGCGACGAGTTAAGAGACTTGCAAATTGCTAGTTAGGGGACGAACAAGGGAAATGTGGGACTGGCTGCTGGATTCGGCTGGTGATTTACTGGCAGCAAACCCAGACCGGGCTGAGGTAGTCAGTGCTGCCTTTGGCTCAGCCTTTACTGACAAGGTCTCCCATGCTCAATGCTTTGCAGCAGGGCTCAAGGAGGAGGAGAGTGACCAGCATCGGGTATAAGTTGAAAAAAAAAGAGATTTATACCAGAACCAAGACAAAACTTTTCCCCCGTGAAGATGGGCAGGCAGTGGCACTGGCTGCACAGGGAGGTTGTGCCGTGTCCATCCTTGGGGGTTTTCAAAGCCCAACTGGGCAAAGCCCTGAGAAACGTGGTTTGAGCAGGGGATTGGACTAGAGACTCCTTAAAATCCCTTCCAGCCTGGATTATTCTGTGATTTTGAGATTTGTGGCTCTGGCAATTCTAGATATTTTAAACCTTCTGCTTAGTTAACCCAGCTTCGTCCATCCAAATAAAAGAGGTTCTTCAATGAATGATTTGCACTCATGAGAATCACTTAAATAGGTGATGTTTTAAAGTAAATGCTTTTGAATGAGAAATTGCATACACATCGCATACTGGCATAGGAGTGGCATTTCTGCAATACCTCAGCTACCAGTGGTCTTCCCATGCGCGTGCATGCCACGCACAGCCCAGCGAGAGCAGTCGCAGTTGATGCAGCTGTGCCCACTCTGCAAGCTGGCTTTTAATCTATGGTGACAGTGACCAGAGCTGAATGGAATCAGGACAATATAGTGGCATTATGTGTGGATTTCAGGCTCCTTCCAGTTTCAAAAATAGCAGCCAGAGACTGCATATTTACTTCAGGTCTGGTGTCTCCCTATTTCTCACAGAGAATCTGTGGTGCGTACATGGGAGTATATTCTCCAGTCGTTAGCGAGAGTGAAATGGGAAGGAGTCTATGCATAAGGAAACGGACTGACTGTAGTGATCTTGTTTGCTGTTCTGGTAACATGGCTCCTTGCTCTCCAAGCAGCCTAAGCGTGAAGAGGGCTGTACAGAAGATGATGGGAGACTCTGAAGGTGCTTGCACCAACTTCAAAATTACAAACTTTGGCATAGGAAAGCAAAACTGTGTTGAAAGGAGGATGTAGTAAACTTATTTGACAAACCTGGGGCAAAATGGATGCAATCAGTCCAATTTAGCCAGGTTCTAATTTAGTTGGAGACTACAATTCTGCCTGGAAATACACAACTTCCAAAATCAGCTGATGATTTGCAAGCAGTACATTTAATAAGCATCCTGTTGTCCAACAGTGATGAAATGCTCTGCTTTGCCTTGAGATCATGTACAGCTGGGGTTTTTTGCAAGAAAAGATAAAAGTGGCTAATGAGGTAAGAATTACTGCTGTGGAAAAATGGGGACAATGGCTAGAATTTAAGGGTATTTAGATGTCTCTAATGATTTCAGTGGGATGTAGGTAGTCAGTACCTTTATAAACTAGCTAATCACATAGCAAATGAGACACTAATTTAGCAGTTCTTTCAGGAACAGAAAACTGTCGATAAACTTATAGCTTTATAAACAAAGGAATAAGCAAGCACCCTGTGTGGTAAAGAAAGTAATTGCTGGTACAATTGTCCGTATTTTGCAGGTGATGATATGCAAAGAGGATCAGTCATTTTCTCAATAGCACCAATATAAATCAAGAGTAATGCAACAAATTTTAGCTCACATAATTAGGGAGTACATCTTTAACTCAGATAGGTTACTGACTTTCCACAGAGGTGGAGGAGTCAGTTCAATAGCTAGAATTTGGATTTTCCCACTTCTTATCTTGAACAAATTGATCTTTTCTCCCTTCTACTGTACACCTTTTAATCATAACTGCAAACAGTTATTTCTCCTTCTGATTCTTACAAGCACTCATTCTTAGTGTAAAGAAATGGCTATGATTTTAAAATTATAACTAAAGCTATAAGCAGATTCCACAACCTGCACACACAAACGATGTATCTCAGAAAAAGGAGCTATTTTTCCATTTGTGTATAAATTGAGGCAGTTTAGTTTGCAGCTACTTAAATACCAATGGGCCATTGTTTTCACTTTGAATCAGGAACGTAAAGTACAGACACACTTTGCTTCTCTTTGATACTGTGAGACTATTTTTTTTTTCTGCTAAAACCAGAATAAGAATTTTAGGAGTAAGGTTCTTATTTGACTGTCAAGTTCTTTGTGCTTTGGAAAGTATGAGGGAGACAAAAACTTTCTGTTTCCTTTGGGTTTTCTCACAGTTTTCCTAATATTTGCCACATTATTGCTCTTGCATTTTGGGAGAGCTATGCATCTGACACCTGAAGAAAATTAACCCTTGGAAAGCTGTGCAGAAACTGCAGGGTGCATACTCTGGGACAGCTCCTGAGACAATACCTGCATTTATAGCCGATGGACTGAATAATTTTCCTGGGATTAGATGTCTCAGCTGCCCGGTTTCTCACACATGTGCTTACTTCTCTAAAAGCAAGGTATTCCTGAGGTTGTAGCTACAGGTTCTCTAGGTTTCTGACCCAGCCAGTGATTCTTTAGAGTAAAGCACAATTCTGAAGGGAAAATAAGCTATAATTGCTTAGACCTAAAGCATCAGGTTTGGGAGTGGTGTTGTTGCTGTCAGAAACCATTTTAGCCCCAAGGAAACACAACTTCTCGAGAAACACTTCTCATCTGCTATTTTTCAATCACTGAAGTATACAAGTATATTTGAAAAGCAAAGTGCTTATGATTATATCTGCTTTTATAGGTTTAAATGTAATCAGCAGACTAGGAACAGAGTGCACAAGTCATTTTATCTACATTGTTTGTGGGGAATCTCTGAGAACAGAGGAGTGCTTCTGACCTAGTTAAACTCCTGCTATATTGAAAACGATTATTAAAAAGCCATCAATACTTCTCTGAGCCCACATACTCACTTGTTGCCCAGTAACCAGAAGGATGGAGCCTTCTTTCCCATGTACCACTTGCCGGTAAATGTGATCTAGAATTAAGAGTTCACTCCAGCAGTTCTGAAGCAACTTCATTTGGTCATCAACCTGTAAAGCAAACAAACATTGGTGGCATCACTCTGGGATTAAGTCTCACATTACTCTACGGAGTCAGTCCTCCTTCAAGCATCTGGTTAATGTCATGAGAACAGAAATGCTATCAAAAATTACTTATCCACAAAATGGCTATTCACAGCTGAATAAATAAGACACTGCTAAAACCCTTATCTGTAAAAGGTATAGAATATTTACTACTGATTACATGCTAGGAAAGCAGAACTATGGCATTATTATGCAAAGTAGTAATAATAGTATAGTTACGCAATGCTTATGGAAATGGGATATCACTCTTACCCAAAACAAGAATAACAGAAATAATGCTAATATGAACTTTCCTATACTCTCCATCCTTAAACCTCAGCTTCTGGAAATAGTAAGGAGTCTGCAGATTCAAGAGCATTATTGCTGCAACAAGCCCAAGTCAGAGATAGGTCCCTTGCAAAGGAAAAAGCGAAGAGCGAGGTAAAGACTCCCTCTAAGAATAGTTGTGGTACTATGAAAAAAGAAGAAAACTTTGTCGTAAACAGAAGCTGAGCAGTTTTGGGCATCACTGATAGGGCAAGAAAGGGCTGTGCACAAGGCAGTAGTGAGCAGTGAGACATATCACTGACTGCATTTGGTAATAGAAGGAACAGATTAAAAATGCTATAAATTAGGAGAAGTAAAAAAAGAAATTAGCAAAGAGAATATTTAAAGTGGAGAAATGCCCAGAATTTCTGAGACATGGGACTATTAAAATTGTTTTTCAGGTGTTCAAGTTTCAAGCAATTCAGAGCTAGATTTCATAATGTACATGAAACCACATTATAAGGAGCAATCTTGCATGAGCTGAATTAGAAAATTCAATAGATGCTTTCAAATTTTATCAGCTACAACTTAATGAATTTTTGAACTTTATTCTTTCAAGCTTGTTTTCTGGTTGTGTTGTAAAGAAGGAAATAATGCTTGTTACTAATAGATTTTTGTAGTGTCACCTCTGAAAGTTAGCTAGTATTGTCTCCCTCTTTCCAGTCACTTCCCATACAGCTCAGACTTTAACATCAAAGTCTCTTTTTGCCTCCTTCATTCATCTTAACTTCCCTTCTCCCCAGTCACAGTCTTCTCCCAACTCTTCTTGTTCCAGTTTCTCCCCCTTAGGTATCTGCCTCAAATTATTCCCTCTTGCTCGATGATGCAAAGGAATGAAATCAGGAGAAAAAGGGCGCAGATTAGCACAAAGGCAGTGGGTAGAGAAGGGAAGAAGAACCTGTGAGCAGCAGATGTTCTCCCGCGCAGCCTGAATTAGGACCCTCCATGACTGCAGCAGGTATTTGTGCTGGGAAACTGCACAACTCATTCCCTCCACTAATGCCTTACCTAGAGGATAATATAATTTTCATGGGGTTTTGAGTTGTTGTTTTTTTGGTTTTTTCTTTATTTTATTTTTACACCCCACCCCTCCCACCCCCACCCACCCCCTTTTCTCCTAAAAAAACCCCAAAACCAAGCAACAAAAAAACACGGAAAATTATATCCAGGTATCTGTGCCAAAATAATATCTTAAGGATGCAAAATCAAGCACTGCAGAATTAGTTAATGCTTGTATTAAGATAGTCTGTCCTATTCTAATTTTATCTTCAATCTACATTTGTGTTATAACAGATTTTTATACATAGACACAACAGGGCTGAATTATGCAAACACTCTCAGTTCTGATATTTCAAATATTTTGCATGCTTTGGCTTTCCAGTATTAAGAATAATCTTTTATCACAGTTGCTTTTCTGCCTACAGTCACTGTTAATCCATGTATGCTCACATAACTCCTATAAACTACATATCCATTGGCAATAGAGATGCAGCAAAGAAAGAGGTGTGGACTCTGCAGATGGATATATTACTAAGGCAAAGTAAAGCTAGTGCTGTCGCAAACTCAGCCTTGCTCCGTCCCTGTGCTGTCTGTGCCCATGAGAATTCATTTCTGTTCGGATCCCAGAGCAAGGCTGATTCCATGTTAAAGATCTCTTCCTCTGCCCACAACATGTATTTGACTACAAAACCATTTCAACCAAGTGACTTGTTACCTCAAGAGAGAACAGTAAATTACAACATTGACACTCTCCCTACCAAAACTCTGGCCAGGTTTAAAATCAGGCATTGTTTGAAGAAAATATGTTTGAACTTTACATGTTCTAGTCTGCTTGCTTTTTATGCAAAACTGTTTTGTGACCATTTTCTCCTCTGTACAACAAGATGTTACAAAAATCAAATAAATCATGCTAACATGATAATTTAATTCAAAAATTAGCATTTCACACAAAGCTATCACAGCCTACATCTGAACGAAACAAACTGTGAGACAGTTTAAACATTCATAATAACTAATACCTGAATAAGAGGTCAAGCATTTGATTATATTATAAATGACATATTTCCAGCTAACCCATCTGTTTCAGCCACAGGCTTTCGAAAACAAACTACACTTTACAGGTCTAGCTTTCTGAAGGCCCCAAGAGCAGCTAGTCTGCAATCAAAGCTTACCTCCCAAGTTTTATCATATCATTACCGAGCCAGTGCTGTGAGAACAGTGTGAGATGGCAAAATCACAAAAAAAAAATTGTTTTGCACATAGTCTCTTCCTGCTGTTCTACAAGACCCATAAAACTAGCAACAGCGAACATCTGCTAATGGTTCACAAAATCTGCTCCTCCGTATTCACTGTAATTTAACCAGTGAAAGCCTTTAAAATGGATAGCATAAAAAGTAGAATACACATCCGAAACACAGTATTGCCTTCAGAAGACTATTAGATTCAGCTGCTTTTGCCATTTTAAGAAAGCTGGCAGGCAGCAGAACGCTTCCCAATTTGCAGCAGGAAGAAACAGAGCTGACTTTAAGGAGGGGCATGGATTAATAAAACGTAGGGCAAACGATCAATTCCAGCCTACTTCTGAAAGGTATGTAGATGAGGAAAAACGCATACTTATCTCTGGTAATGCACATGAAACGTAAAATAGAAAACAACATAGATCATATTGAACAAAAAAGGTAACACACCACTTCTTAAGTTAGAATGAGCTGGTAAACTTTATGATGTGTGTAACTTCAGTCAGAACACAAACACCTTTGTGTTTCCGTAGCACGTCAATAAATGAGTTGCAGAAAGATATTATCTGGCAAAACTGAAAAAAATAATAATCAGCCTTTCACCAAAACAAGTATGTGCCTTAGACCGATTATGAAGGCAAAGAGGTTTAAGTTTTGTGGCTGGAGTGGAGACTGAGTTCTGAAGAGGAAGGTCCTCTGCAGGAAAAGCACCTTGTGGACTTCAGTCTTCTGACTCCAAAGCCAAAGCATGCTAGTCTGCCATTAACAGGGTAAGCAGGAGAAAAGATAAGATTTTGTCACCAAGATAATTCAGCTCCAGTCTGGGACTTCCCTAAAATCAACACAATTTTCAATCAAGGTATAAATTGCATTAGAAACAAGCTTGTAAACTTGTACTATTGGCTAAACTTTGAGGTTTTTCAGTTTGTGGGAATCTTTAAGAGTATTACCAATGTCTTAACAACAAGAAAAAGTACCTTTTGTCTCAACTACCAAGAATGCTTATAAAGAAAAAATGAACATCATATTGCTAACAACCAGCTGTTGCAAGAACACTTCCCAAATTTGCAGCTGTTCCCTGCCGTGACAGAACATTGACACAAGGATATAGTAACCCAGGTCTTACCTAAGCAAGTTGTCAAATGAGATACCCGTTTGACAGCTATCTCGCCTCGAGCAAAAGTGTGAGCAAATACTGTGCCCAAACGGTTAAGTTTAGGTCCTCTCTGGCCGGTGGTGTTCAGATGAAGACACACCAGCAGGGATAGCGTAACTGGAAAATGTTGCTGTAGAAATGGCTTTTAAGGTAAGATGTGGAGGACACTAAGGGAGGGTGTGCGGCTCAAAAGAAATAGGAGATCATTTCCAGTATGCCGGGTGGCAGGAAAAAGTAATAATGTTACGAGTATGAAAGGAGTAAACCATCACACTTGCTGCTACGTGACAAGGGAAGCAAAGGGAGTGCTTAGGAGGAGGCTTTAAAGGAGGGGAATGGGGAGGCAGTGCAGCGAGAGAAGACATGAGGGAAGCTGGATGTCAAGTAAAACCTTGAAGGTGAGGATGATGAGGTTGGATGAGATGCAGACTCAAAGGGTTTGTGTGACAGGAAGTAACACTGCTGGGGCAGAGAAGAAGCAAGTACTTTGTGTTAGGGAAGCAGAGGATGGCAGTTGTTGCCAGCACAGGCAGGAGAAGTACCAGAGGTGGAAGTGGGCATGTGCATTGTCTACTCTCAAACACTAGGGACACAAAGGTGGAACAAGGGTTAGCTTTATGACAGCATTAATAAATGGCAATAGGTAAATCTTGTTTCCTATACCAAAATCCTGTTTACTTATGCTTACAGTGAAGACAAGGAAGCATGTCAGAATTTGGAGTCATCCATAGCGGCCAGTCACAAGTGGTGATCCCCAGGGCTCACTATCAGGGCCGGTTCTGTTTAATATCTTTATCAACAACCTGGACGAGGGGATCGAGTGTACCCTCAGTGAGTTTGCAGACGACACCAAGTTGGGAGGCAGTGTTGATCTGCTTGAGGGTGGAAAGGCTCTACAGAGGGATCTGGACAGGATGGATTGATGGGCCACGGCCAGTGGTATGAGATTCGACAAAGCCAAGTGCTGGGTCCTGCACTTGGATCACAACAACCCCATGCAGCGCTACAGGCTTGGGGAAGAGTGGCTGGAAAGCCGCCCGGCAGAAAAGGACCTGGGGGGGTTGGTTGACAGCCACCTGAATATGAGCCAGCAGTGTGCCCAGGTGGCCAAGGTGGCCAACAGCATCCTGACCTGTATCAGGAAAAGTGTGGTGAGCAGGACTAGGGAAGTGATTGTCCCCCTCTACTGGGCACTGGTGAGGCCCCACCTTGAATACTGTGTTCAGTTTTGGGCCTCTCACTATAAG